TATATATATATATATATATATATATATATATATATATATATATACTGTATATATATGATAACACTGTATCCTGCTTTTTTTTTTGGAAAAAATAAAACAACCTTCTAACAATCTATAATTTTGTACGTTTCTCCCTGTTCTAACCTCTACACTTCTTGACAACGACTGAGACTGTATTGTTAGCACTTTTCCTGTTATTGCCTCCTAAAGATGAATTACTTTGTTGAAGGCTATTCTTAATTTTTAAGTCACCTTGATAGATGTGTCTGCTAAATAAATAATGTATATAATGCAAATGTATGGAAGTAAGTGGACACAAATTAGCAATACTGGACAAGTCTTTTTTTTGTTATTCATTGTTTAGGTTAATATTCCAGTTAAAATATATAGCAGTATATGTCTTCATATAGGTTCTAACCATCCATAAAGTGACAGTAATACCTTGCACCTTTCATTGTGCCTACTTAAAGTGAGCAATATTGAAGTGAGGACAGTTGAGGGACTCATACACTATCACTACAAAAGCTGGGGGTGTAGACATTTCCTTATTTGTGATCCTGGACCACAAAACCAGTCTTAAGTTGCACAGGTATAGGCTATTTGTAGCAATAGCCAACAATACATTGCATGGGTCAAAATGATACATTTTTCTTTTAAGACATAAATCATTAGGATTTTAAGAAAATATCATGTTCCATGAAGAGATTTTTGTAAATTTCCTACCATAAATATATCAAAACTTCATCTTTGATTAGTAATATACATTGGTAAGAACTTCATTTGGACAACTTTAAAAACGATTTTCTCAATATTTTGATTTTTTTTTGCACCCAGAGATTCCAGATTTTCAAATAGTTGCATCTCGGCCATTTGTCCTATCCTAATATACATAATCTGAAAGCTAAATAAATAAGCTTTCCATTTATGTATAAATCTCAATTTTAAAAAAATTAAGCCTTATGACTGGTTTTGTGGTCCAGGGTCACATTTTGTTTAAAGGAGCTATATGCAAGAATTTCACGTATTAACCCCTTTTTTTATTCCCAATGCATGAAAAGCTTGAAACAAAACCTAAAACACAAGCCATTCCATGACTTCCCTAGGCTGTCTAATGAATTCCTGAAGGCAGTTTTTATGTGAATAACTCGGGACATCTGGGAAAATCAAAAGGATGTGACGGTTGTGAGTACTTCCAAGAGTCTCCCTCCCATTCAGTGACACATGGAACAAGTGCTCTTAACAGTGTGGATGGCATTTGGATGTTTGTTAACAGTACATTGCTGTAAAGGTATTTCCAACTTCTTTTAACTTCTAAGTGAAGAGTGAAAAAAGATCAGATTTTCGCCACGAGTATTGGGGCCTTGAATCACATTTAGTCTTGCGTGTTACGTGTGCACATTCAGATAACTTAATGGACATTGGTGTTGCTAATAACAAGGGTTTCTGAATTCCACGTACAGTGGGTACGGAAAGTATTCAGACCCCCTTAAATTTTTCACTCTTTGTTATATGTCAAAGAGCTTATTTTTTCATGTAGTACTTCCCTTTTAAAAGCTACAGAAGATACTTGCATTTCCCACAAGACAAAATAGGCCCAAGTATAATTTACCCAGATCATCCTGTTCGAAATCTTCACACCCCTCAGCTCTTAAATGCATCACGTTGCCTTTTTGAGCATCAGTAAATGTTTGTTGCACCTTTGGTAACAGTTGTTTATGAGTCCTTTAATTTTCCTCAATGTAAAATAATGGAACTCAAATACATACAGTATCTGTTGGAAAAAGTTGAAATATGCAAAAGATGCTGGAAAACCAAATGTGCAGGACCTGAAGGACTTGTCTAAATGATTTTTTTCAGTTTGGAAAGCATTGTGTTAGTTCATGCTGATAGCTAGACTAGAGCAATCCTGATGTGCCATAGCAGTGTTTGTGATATCAGAGCAGCTGCATTCACATTTCTTCATTGATTCTGCCACTAAGTTTGATTTGTGTCTTGTTTGTTGCTTCAAGTCCATCCTTAGAGCGCATATATTTTTATTGTAAAATTATACACACAAAACACTGTGCACTTGTAAATTCTTTTAATATCTTTATTTTTTTCCCCTCCTTAAGTCTGTACTTTGTCCTTCATTTCTGTGCTATATTGAATGTTCACAAACATTTCCCCTCATTCTTGAATTCCGGTGAAAAGAACCTCAGAATTGCAAACACCACAATCCGACACCAAGTAGTCATGTGGATGCCACAATTTACATTGAGCATTCAGTTTACTTAAAATTGAATGTTAGGTGGAAGACAAGTACATTGACACACTAACGTTAAGTTAAAAATAAATACTTTCAAACACGACAACAACAGCAAAAAAGAAAAAAAGAATACAATCCCACAGGGATATATCATAACTTTTTCATCCTACATAAAATTGTACATTTTTAAAAATGTTTTTCATCTAATTTTTATCAGAGAATTTCAGAAATACAAAATGGTATTTGAACACAACCATAATAATGGTACATCAAAATGTTAAATATTGTACAAAAGTTTTTCTATTCTTATTCTTTTAAAGCACTAATCAAAATCCATTAACAAACAAGGTGTTGGAACTACTATAAATGCAAGAGTGTAATTGGATGTACATGTCAGCAGCATGTGACACAGTATGTGGTCCTGAGAACAAGGCCTTGATTAATATATATATATATATATATATATATATAACCATCTAACCATCAACTGTGCAGCCCCTTTGTCAGGATAACCATAGGCTGCATATCTTGAAGTTGCCTTAGCAGAAGTTCAGAAGAAGTGGATACGTTTTCATACATAACAATTTTAACATTCTCCACAGTCTCAATCTTTAGTGGATTTCTGAAATTAACAATGCATTGGACTTGATCTCTCTCTGGGATGATTGGTTGAAGTGTTCGCTGTCGTTTTGATTGATTGGATAGAGAGTCTTCACTGAACTTCAGGACGGATGTCTCAAACTCTGAAGGCTTATAAAGTTTTAGTGCAACTTCATGGTTCCCTTGAGAGTTTGACGAGTTCAATATGGATCCTGAGACTTTCAGCAAACATTTAACATGCTCAGCAGAGCAGTTCCGAAGACTTTGTTTTCTCTCGACACTGATTTTGTTTCTACATTCTGACTTCCGTGGACGACCCCTTTTTCGTTTGATTACTGGTATGGTTGTGGAAGCGAAACCTTCATTAACTACAACCTCCGTTGCAGGCTCTGGGCCTACATCTTGAGAACTGACCTTTGAATTCTCTGTTTGATCTCCATCAGAGACTGTTTCCGCAACCTCAACATTTTTTGAGGTATTATCTGCTCTGGGCATCTCATTGCTTTTCTTGCAAAATATGAACTGGCTTCTCCGATCCTCAATGTACCGTTCTGTGAGACCATGAGTGGTGTAATGTTTTATTATACTGTGTTCAGCACTCATTACTGAATCACAACTCTCAATCATGCACGGGTACTGATGACAGTTGTAAGGTGCTAATTTGTCAGGGTTTTTCTTCATTTCATTTATCCTTTCCTCACTGTAATCATGTACACGGCTAAGGTGTTTAAATAAAGCTTCTTTTGTCATTGCTCCATAAACACAGCCTTCTTTACATCTAAAGGGCTTTAAAAAACATTTCTGCTCGTTTTGTACAGGATCTTTAATTGTGTGACACTGATCATTTCTGGTGACAGCTTCAGAGCTTAGATCATGCAGGTTAGTGCTCACAGATACACATTTGTCTTGACTAAGTATATCAACTAAATCAAGCCGCTGTAGTGCCCTTTCAATTTCTATGATTTTGCCATCTTCACCAGTATTTGCAGGCGTGAATTCAACTTCAGTTTTGATTTCTGTGCCTGTGTTTGTTACAGGTGGATGGAAGAAACTGCCATTTCTAGTCACTTCAGAGGGGTCTTGAGAGGACATATTAGTGTTCTGGAGGCTGTCTGTGCTATGCATGCTTGTTAAAGTGTTCCCATTAAAGATATTTGATTCTGATGGTGCATAGATGCAGGATTTGAGATTGTGCTCATGTATGTCATTCGCAGGGAGAGGCATTTGCACCGTTGAAATGTCAGGATCATTCAGAAAATCAAGAAATGATACTGGTAAATCAGCAGTAAGATCAATTTCATCAACAGGTTTGCACTGAGAACGTTTTGATAAATGACCTCCTAGTGACTTTGTGCTTGAAAACTCTCTATAGCACCTGCAGCAAATGACTTTCCCATCTTGTATTATGGCAGGCCATTTTGTTCTCTTAGATGATTTAATTTTTTTGGATTTCCCAGTTTCTCCAAAACCTGAAATGTTCTGGTCATCTGAAGCAATTCCTTCAGTTCCTTCCTGTGACAGTTCATGATTACATAAATCTTCTGGCCTTTTCTCATCAGTCAGGGGGGCAGCACCAAAGAAATCTTCTCCCGATTCCTTAAATTGAGGGTTTAAAAGATTCGACATACATTTGATATCTGATGAGAATAATGCATCGGTACTATCAGTGCTGATTTCTTTGTTTGAATTTGCCAATGGCTGCACTGAAATAGAACTTTCCTCGGAAGGCAAAGTTGAAAAATAAAGGCTGACATTGTGTCCAGAGAATGATCCTGTTTGCAGCAAACCAGTGCTCATGGAAATATCATTGAGATGGTTTTGTCCAATTTGACTGAATCCAGGATTAACACTTGACTCAACCTGTGACAAGTCACAAGTCTGATCGCTGTTAAGTGCATGTAGTACTCTAAGAGAGCTTGACACATATTTTGAGGCTTCGTTCATCACACTGGAGGGTGTGTGGGCATTCACAGAAAGGGGGATGATGTCATCGTAAGATGAGGGAGATGCATAATTTAAGACTGTGTCAGATTGGTATGACGGGTTTGTGTGTTGGTTGTCAGATAAAATCGTAGAGCGGTAAGGATCATTTACAGAAAAACCTGAATCCAAATTTTCCATTGAGGGTGTTTCCCATGTCTGAGTTATTGGTAACTGCATCAGACCTGTCGGGTTTGGTGATGTTGCACTTTGAGTGTTTTCAAGCTGAGAGCAAAGCTTGGCACTTGCAGACTGCATACTATCGTGATAAAAAGCAGAAGAAGGACTTTGAATCACTGAGTCCAGAAATGCAGTATGTTCAGTTTGTTTGGAACGGCTTGTCCATTTTGGTATCTGAGAACTAGCGGTTGCGTGCTCAGAAGAAGATTTTTTTGCAGCAATTTCCGCAATCCGTTTGTACTTCTTTGACAGCTTCCACTCCTCAAAGGCCTCCGAATGAACATTTTTGACATGTCGCGATAAACTTTTTGAGGTGCTGTATTTCCGTGTACAGGTTTCGAATGGACACACATGAGTCAGACCTTCTTCTCTGTTGGCTTTTGTCACAGAGGGAGATGACTTCAATGTTGAAGGCTCAAGCTGACTCTGTGGGAAAGAAAACAATTTCTTGTCTTTCAAGAGTGTTTGAGTTTCACAGTCAGCATCCTTTAGAGCATTTAAATATATTGGATCATTGCACTTGATGGGAATAGCCTGCAGTTTTACAAAGCATGATTCAAGATGCATTTGCTTTGTTCTCCCAAGACAATGAGATGTCTTCGATCCATCAGGCTGAATAGCATTAGTTTGGGAATCATTTTTGCTTACTGTCAACTTAGCTGTTCCTGATACAAGGTGCTTAGGTTGTTCTGTGGAATCATGAGTGTCTACTATGTTTTCAACCGTGCATTTCATTTCTACTGGGGTAGACTCTTGAGAAATCTCTTTAATTTGGCTTGGAGGCAACTCTAAGGCAGGACAAGTCGAAGCTGGTAATTCCAGTTGAGAAGGTGAGCCCACATCAACAGCAGAGCGGTCCTGCTTTGTGTGTCCTTTCTGATGCAAATTTAGCTCAGACAAGGTGTAGAACACCTTGTCACAGTTATGACTTTTGCAGGAGAACAACATGTAGTGCTGCGCTTCATGATCATATAGCAAGTATGTCTCGTTGAATATTCTCTCACAGTTTGGATATGCACACTGTGCCTTAAATTCAGCATGTTCTTTTCTGTGTATCAGAAGCTCAGCATGAGAGGAAAAGCTGCAGTTACATCCAAGCTGAATGCAAAAATATGGCTTCTCACCACAATGCATCTGTAAGTGATCATTAAGATGGGTCACATTAACAAACTGGCGGTGACAATATTGGCACAAAGCCTTCTGGCTCTGTATTTCAAGGAAATGTGTTGCTTCCCGCTCATTTTTGTGGGCCTTAACATGTGCAACCAAATTCCTGAAGTACTTAAAAACTTTCTGACAGCTTGTAACAGGGCAGGAACAAAGTTTAGTGTTGTTAACATCACGAATAGGGTTGCCCTGTTTTGGGGATGACGACTTAATTTTACTTTTCACATTTGTGATGGGACTACCATTTGAAGCATACAGATTATTGCAAATTGTCCCTTGGCTAACTATTGCAGCAGTTTTGCTGTAGTGCTCTTCTCTGCTATAGTGCTCTTCTGCTCTGCTCGAAGTACTGCTAGCTGCTGTTAACTTGGTGTCAGAACTGGGACGTTTCTTGCTCACACCCATAGCAGCAAGGCGCTCCTTACATGACTGTTTCACATGTGATGCCACATGAGGCTCTAGAATTGCTCTAGTTTCAAAAGTCTCAGTACATATTGGACAATGGAAAATCCCATCTTGGACATGCTTCAATGCATGCTTCACAATCCTGTGTCCAAGGAACTCTTTATCACACAAAACACAATACTGCATATAAGCTTGCCAATTGCGGAATCGAGCAGAAACAAATCCCCTCTCTCTCATCTTCTTCATTTCCTTTTTCTTCTTTCTTCCTCCTTCAACCTCACCGAGTTCATAAGTAGGACTATGGGTAAAATGCAGATGTCTAAAATATTTCTCATCAAGGTCATGGACTTCATTGTCTTCACTGTCAGTAAATTTGTCAGTAGACAATATAGCTGCTGCCTCCTGACCCATCAAAGCAAGGCATTGACGTTTTAGGGTTTTCCAGTCCCAGAACTCTGGATCGAAAGGCCACTTAGTCTTTAAGGCCAACAACAGGTCACAGCGTAGTGAATTTAGAATCGGTGGATCATCCTGCTCAAGCTTTTGGTCGGGCTCATTAAAGAGAGTCTCAACAGCATAATAAGAATCCAAAGATGGCTTTATCAGGAACTCAGTGAGTTGACAAGCCTGTTTTACTTCCAAGTCTAAAGGCAGCAAACAAGAGATTGTTTTGCAGATGGAGATATTGCAGCCCTCGTTATCACTGACTCCCATTTTTAGTGCTTGAATGCACATTTCGATGCACACTGAAAGTCCACCTTTCTCAACCTGAGGAAACAAAAATGTCACTGTCACCTGAATGCCATTGCCTTGATTTCCAAAACACATTGACATAAAAACAAAAACTTTTCTAACCTCAGCCTGAATGACTTTGATGAGGAGCAGAATATGGTACACACTCCCAGAGAGGCGTGCTAACAGTCTGCATTGCTCCAAAAAGGCCTGTTTTGATTCAAGCCGTATAAGAAGTTTACTCCAAAACAGTGTCAGCTCCCTGTAAGATGTACAATATAAAATGATAATCATAATTTGTACAAAATTGTTCAATTATTTTCATGCAAGCTCAAGAGAACTCCTGTTAAAATCAATCAAGCTGTCTACACTGCACAATAAATCTCTTATTCACAGCGTATATGTCTTGATAATTAAAATGGGAACATTGGTGAGAGTGCAGTCAGTGAGTTTGCACAGTCATCTGGACACTAAAAGAGCTAGCGCTAAACAAAAAGATCTTCAGTGGTTTTCTTTCACGCCAGTGGACACATCATAAAACTTCTTTAGTGTCAGGTGATGTTTCTTCACCACACATTACACAGTGTGGTGTGTGCATAATTAAGCAATTCAATATTCTAATCATACAATTTTTCCAAGCACATTTTACCGATGTACCAAATTCCAAACCACAGCGATCCTGATTACTATTAAGTAGGGATGTCCCGATCAGGCTTTTTGTGCCCCCAATCCGATCAGATGATACATAAAAGATCTGCACACTGTTATTCTCCCTTTATTTAGCAAAAGTTAAAAGTGGCAAACACACATATATACAAAAGCCTTTGTTGTTTTTCTCTTCCATCTTTATTTGACCCTCTAACTCTAGCACTCTCCATTTTAATTCTATTCTTTAAAAAAAAAGGGTCTCTTTTAGACTTGTACTCTATTAATTTACAAACTGCTTTTCTTAAAAAAAAAAAACTAACACCAGCTTCTCTAATGTTTTTGTATTCCATCTATTTATTTTGTTTTTATTTATTATACAATTAACAAAAGCAAAATAGTCCTCTAACTCTAGCTATTCTTTTTCTATTCTATCGGTTTCTTTTTTATTTATTATATAATTAATAAAAACCTTGCTACGTGTACTGAGTGGGAGTTTAGCTCCAACCAGCAATACACTTGTCTAGAAGTTTTTAATGATTCTGAAGACCCTGATTAGCTGGTTCAGATATGTATAATTAGGGTTGGAGCTAAACTCTATAGAGCAGTGGCCCTCCAGAGACAAGTTTTGGATCTGTCAAAGTGACAATTATAGTTTGGGATTTAAGAATTAATACTGATTCATCAAAATAAAGATCAACTAAATATCATTAAATATCATCTATAAATGACTGTATATATACATACAGTGCACAGCATAAATGAGTACACCCCCTCTGAAACTTAAATTCAGTAATTACTCTTTACTTAGAAGACATGTTAGGGTTCTTTAGAGATATAATATTCCAGCAAGTCTGCTTGATCAGTTACCAGAGATGAATGTTAAAATTATTCAGGAAAACACAATTTTCTTATCAGTGATAAAATGTTTTGTTGCAAAAATGAGTACACCCTCCTGAAAGTTACTAAATAAAAATGTCTGGTGTAAGGTTTGATCAACAAGTATGTTGAACCGAAACTGTTAAAGATAATTTCTTCAAGTCTTAAGCAAGTCTTAGAATGATTCTAAGACTTGCTGAACACTATGAAACCACTTAAGAGAAAACTGTCAGGAGATTTATTTCTTAGCATAAACGAGGACAATGGTACTAGAGGAATACCGAATTATTGTTTTAAATGTGAAAATATTGCAAAAGTAATACAGAAATTCAAAAACAATGGACTTGTGAACAGGCCCCTGAAATTATTAGGTTTTCACCTAATTTTCACCCAAGCTTTCATTTAGTGATGAGTGAGTTTTTGCTAGAAAAAAAGCAGGAGAAACACCAAGAAAGTGTCTCAGAACCGGCAAAAGCTATGAAATGAGTGACACTTTATCTCACAGAGTAAGATGCAGCCTGCAGAAGTGACATGCCATGCATGGTTGTTTATCCACACCAGAACTACCTACTGAAACCAAAGCACAAGAAACTCATTTAACTTTTTCCAAGGCCCATATTTACAAAATATAGACTTCTGGGAATCAATACTCTGGCCTCCTGAGACCAAGTCAACCATTTCGGATCTAACAGCGTCCAAAATGTTATGGTGTTGCTAGAGAAGAGGTACAGTGAGAAGTGCCTAGTTCCCACAGTGACGTTCAGTGGCAGTAAAGCTCTTCTCTAGGGATGAATGAGTGTGAGGGAGTTGTTTTATCAACGCAGTTATGAATTCACACACCACTGTGTGATGTAATACAAAAACCTGAAACAGAAGAAGTTACCCTCTCCTCATTCCCTGCATTGTTGGGCATTTTTTCAACATGACTATGAAGATATTCATTCTCCCAAGGTGAAAATCCTTCAGTGGACATGTATTTCACTGTGGGGAGCAGTTGTGGGGGATTCTCTGACGAGCTGAGCAACACTCCCCATTAAAGACCAGGGCCCGTATTCACAATACATCTTAAGGCTAAAAGTAGCTCATAACTTGCTGATTTAGGAGAAAATCTTAAAAATAATGGGCGCGCAAGTCCTAAATTTAGGACTCCTACATTTTTGCTCTAAGAAGAGTATTTTACAAAGTGTTTTAGAGCTAAAACTAGCTCCTAAATCTGTGAAACGTTAGTAGTGAAGAGGACTTCTAAGTCACTAAGACCAAACCACAAACTATACTAAAATGGCTGTTGCCGGCAATCTGCCTTGTAACGTAAACAGTTTAGAAACATTTGGCGACAATGCACTTTTAAAAAGGTATCGCCTTTGGTTTTGGCGGTTATACCAACTCTAGATTTTCCTTTGATCATAGCCTATCCTTGTTTTCATTAACCAGTTGGGCAAGAAGTAACAGCTGTTCTTGCGTCGTTTGGTTTTCTTTTACGATTGCATGTCTTACTATCTATCAGCCATGATAATTCTACTGTTAATTAAAAGGCTGTTTATATGCATATCTGCTAATTGTTTACGAGAAGCATACATGTAAGAGGCTGACAATTAGCTGAACATATACTTGTTTAATTAATGACACTTAGCCTGCATTTTAAAATCATTAGTTGAATGTGGAAAACATTTTTTTTATTTGAATATGGCAACATAATATTGTGCTCTACAATATTTCTATGAATAAATCTTTGAGAGACCCCTGCCCTATCAGCCAATCACTGTGTGCATAGTTGGTAAGCATGCTGACATCATCCATAGCAACGAGGTCAACCCCGCCCTTACTCTTAGCTTAAGACCTCTCTCTATTCCTTAGTTAAAGTTTGTCTCAGCAGCTTTGTTAATAGGTTTTAAGAGAAAACTCTTAAAAACTTTTAAAAAGCAAAAAACTTTTACTGCTATTTAGGAGAACCCTTAGTGGCAAGATAAAATGTTTTGTGAATACAGGCCCAGGGCATTTAAGGAGGTTGTCCTCCAGGAGTTAAGCAGGACAGATGTGACAATTTGTCATGAACTTGTACACTCAGTGCCAAGAAGGGTCAAAGCAGTGTACTTAGATTTATGGAGGACATATTAAGTACTAGAATATTACACTTTGTTGAATTAAATCTAGGGTGTACTCATTTCTGCAATCCTTCATTTAAACAAAATTGGCTAAGTTACTTGTTTTACAGATATTAATGGCATTTATTTCTGTTTTTAATAAGAATATGTTTAATACATTTAAATTTTGCCATCTTTCTATGAATTATATTAGTGATCATTAAGAAAATACATCTTTTATATTTAATTAGAAGGGGTGTATATTTATGCTGTGCGCTGTATATATTTTAACAGAACTTAATAAGATTAATGTAATTGAAATGTGTAAATGTGCTTAGAAGAAATACATGATCAGAATATTGACTTGCCAAATAATTATGCGTGCACTGTAGTGCGCCACTAAAAATACAAAAGTAAATAAATGAAACAAATTTAAGAAAAATTATGTTAACTGTAGCAGGCGAAATCACGATCACAATTACTTTTACATTATTAGTGTAGTGCTAATATACAGTGACTGAAAATTTTGAGTGAGAACAAGGGGCTTACCAGGCACAATAAGCATCGCCACAGAGAAGCTGGCGCTTGAAAAATGCCGTACAAAGACCGAGAGCTCCCTTTTCCTCTTCCTCAGACTCTAAATTACGTCAGTTTAACACGTTAACTTAATTAGTTATGAAAAAAATTACGCGATTAAAATATTTTAATGCACTGGCCCCGCCCCAAACTTGTACGTCATCTTATATTTCATACACTTGACTGTTGACAAATATGATGCAGGGTAAGAACTCCACAAATGCAGGTATGCCCTAAAATTCAAGACACTGGGGCAAAAATGCTCCTGTGTGAGTTGTTGTCTCATATTTATATTATATGATCAGCGATATCACACGAGCAGCGAGAACAATATCACACGAGTGCTGTTTGTCCCCGAATAGCACGAGTGCAAATGTGACCTTATACAACAGTTAAAGGGTTAGTTCACCCAAAAATGAAAATTAGCCCATAAATTACTCACTCTCAAGTCATCCTAGGTGTATATGACTTTCTTCTTTCAGACTAATCCAGTCGGCGTTATTTAAAAAATTGTCTTTGATCTTTCAAGCTGTTTGATGGCACTCAGCGGGTGTTGCAGTGCATCAGTCCAAAAGAAGTTCAATAAAAAGTGCCCATCCATAAAAAAAGTGTCTCACACGGCTCCGGGGGGTGAACAAAGGCCTCCTGTAGCGAATCGATGCGTTTTTGTAAGAAAAATAACCATATTTAAAAC